ATCTTATGACCAGACAAGAGAAAATTCCATCAATATTTATTTTAAATAATATTTAACTTTTTAGTTTATTATTATAGAACAACTTGATATTGTGTCTTAAGTGATTTTTTTAAAAGCAAAATCAACTAGGTTTTGAGTGTGTTACAACTCATACAAATATTATCGTCCAAAAGACAAGTATACCCTTTAATAGAATTATGACGAGGTCTGTATGATAAATACATTTGAAAAATTATAATTCTAAGATTATAATACGGATTGTAAGATTCTATTATTGGCAGAAAAATATATTTATATACTTATAATTATATACAAATGTTAAAAAATCATGTATATAAAAATAATTGCATAGTCATAACTATAAATAACTATAAATTCATAAGTTCACAATAATAGTCATAAATTTATAAACAAAAATATTTAAAAAGTATGTAAATTTAAAAAAGTAATGCTAACTTGTGTTTTAGGACACAAGTTAAAAACTAAATATAGAAATAATATTTTAAAAATTGTGCACTACTTTTAATAAAAATAAAAAATCAAATTGATTATTAATTTTTTCAATACAAACTTTCTATAAATATGTTTTTTTAATAATATCTTAAAAATTGTGTACTGTTTTTAATAAAAATAAAAAATTAAATTGATTATTGGTTTTTTCAATATAAACTTTCTATAAATATGTTTTTTAAGGGGCACAAATTAATATTATCCAATTTAAAAAAAAAAGATAAAATAATTATCTATCAAGTTTGATCGAATCCTTTCTTTTGTTCGGTCAATCTCTTCATAAATGTATGAGTCTCTCATATGATTCACCATGCAAAACATCATAGCTAAGGGGAAATCACCCCTAATATAATACATAACATGTGTCCAAAACTTCTAACTAGTAACCAAACATTTCATAAAGATCCCATCATTACTCTCTACAAGTTTACTAGACTTTATTTATTTGATGTAAACATTTTTTTTTAGTGATATCATATTATCATACAAACACCTCAAGGTCAAATATGAAGTGGCAAAGCAAGTAAGGATGTGTTTAATAATCTTATTTAATAAATTTATGCAATAATAAAATTAGACTCGTTCTTACATGAACAAAAGTTGTGATTCTTTTACCACTTGCAACCATTTCTTTGTTCATTGTGATATTTTTTCCAGAAATTCTCTACCATTAAGTCGATACAATGTGTGGTATAAGGTATCTAATACAATTGATTTTGCTTTTTCATCAATAAATCTCCAATTGCTTTGTAATTTCCTGCATTGTTCGTAACAACCTGAACCACATTATCTTCTCCAAATTCATCAACAACATCATCAATTATCTTAAATACCTTGACTATGGTATTGTTATGTCTGATGCATCAATAGATTAAAAAAGCAATTCTTTTAGGAATATTTATCAAAAAATTAAGTACATTCATTCTCCTCTTATAGGTCCACTTGTCAATCATTATGGTGCATTCTAAATTCATCTAAACAGATTTGTGTTCATCTGAGTTATCATTGATCCTCCTCAAGTGAAAACTCAATTTTTCCTCTGACCTCATAATTTCTCTTAGTATGAACAAATAACTTATCAGAAATTTAAAAAGATTTGTTATTCTCCAAAAATCCATTGTCAAAATCCAGATTTGTTTAAATAATTTATTTTAATATTTTTTAAGTAAATAATGTAATTTAAAAAAAATGTTTTTCTCCTCGATTTTTTACAGAAACTGAGAGGTATATGCCGTTTGGGATGAAACATATTTTATTGTATTTTTTATTTAAAAAGTAACACATTTTACCTCAGTTTTGAGTAATAACCGAGAAAAAATATAAACATATATTGACTTTCTTCATCGTCCTTAAGAAAATCTTTGTCGTCCATTTGATGAGTATCAACACTCAAAACACTGTTATTAGTGATCCACGTGAAATATAAAACCCTCATTATAAAAACATTCTAAATATTAAAAATTGATAATGAAACATTTGACATAAAAACTTTGAAACTTAAAAAAGCTTTTATTTTATTTGAATTTTTTTAATCTATGATGGATTATAAGAGCATAACATTATTTGGATTAAATGTTTGCGTTTTTAAATAATCATATAACTGAATATTTATTTTATTTATTTAACTATTTTTGTTTTATATTAGAAACAAATGAATGCAAAAGCCGTAGATAATATTCTGCATCCATTTTATCTTCCTCAAGATCAATGAAACGAGGATCTCCAACATTTGTTCTTCCTCAAAATATCCAACATTTGTTCTTTAACGACAGCGATGATGATGAATCAGATTCAAAATTTGTTATATATTTTTACTTTAATATTTTATGTAAACAATGTAATATTCTGTGTAAACAATGTAGTTTGTAAACAAATTAATTTATTAATATTCTGAGTAAACAATGTAATGAATATTAAAAAAATAATATATTTTTCCCTCGGTTTTAGTCATAAACTGAGAGGTATGTGGAGCTAGTTTTGAAGATAAAAAAAAAGCTATTGTTGGGGGATCAAACAAATGACTATTTCAATTATCCCCTCAATTATTTTAAAACTGAGAGGTAAATTGACAACTTTTTATGACTCCCTTTGTTATCCTGCCTATGTAACTGATGTTTAAACAATTTCGCGTCCGATGTTAAATGAGATTATTTGTAGTAATATTAGTTCCAACTAAATGATGTTTAAGTCGATAAACTCCTTCCATAAACTCTTCCCATAATAGTTGCTCTTCCACCTTCTTCTGTTTAGAATAGGTAAATAATGCTTCCATTCTGAGCTAAGACTTATTTCTGTGAGCATTATTTGAAACAATATTGTTGGCTATAGGAGGTATTGATACACTTTCTGTATTTGAGGCCATTTTCATCAAATAGTATCTAAAGAGTAAAAAAAAAAGAAAAATAAAGAGCTAAAAAAATAAAAGAAGACGAGAGAAAAAAAAAGCATAGTGGAAAAGAAAAAGAGACATAAATAAACATGTGAAGCAAAAATAATAAAGAAGAGGGAAGCTTAAACCTACATCAAATCGAAAAGTTGTGCGGTGAGTTAGTTAGTGTTGATGTTGATGATGTCTTGTTAAATGAAAGAGGAAGCTTGAATAAAAGAGTAAGTAAGGTACAATTTAGAATTCGAAAGAGGGAGTAATTATATTTCTAATAATACTATTGAAGGAAGAAAATTTATGTTGAAATAATAAATTGATAACAATTGAGTTTATTGAGAAGAAAAGACTTGATCATGAAGGTTGAAATAATATTGTGTTTGCATGATACATTTTTTATTTATTTAAAAGAAGTTATGATGACGTCTCTTTAAAATTTCATTTTTAAAAATGAATCATCATAAAAGATTTAATAAAGTCCGACCTAAATCTACACCCATTTTAGAAAATTAGGATTTAAAAAAAACTTTTAAAAAATAGACGTGTCACATCTCTAAATGAAGATGAGTCAGCTTTTCAACTCTGATGAATTCATCGAGTTTGCTACAGACCATCTTATCTGAATCACAACACACTGAGACACAATTGGATCATTAGATCAGGAGTTCATGATTTAACTATCAATCTTGTTTGAGAGTTCGAGAGAGTCGGGAGTACTAATAAGACTAGTGACCACAAGAGAGGGAGACGCCACATCTCAATCCAAAACTTTAAGGTGTTAGGTAAATAGGTCATCTCTCTTATAAAAGCAACATTCCACCAATTCATAGGTGATGTGAGATTTTAAGCGCTCACACTTGCACCCAACATTCTCCCCCACAAATCTGGGTCTTCCACATCCTATCACATGATCTAACACTGAATCTAGCTCTCGCTCCCCCACCAAGCCGAACCACGACTACGATACCACTGTTAGGGAGTTCGGGAGAGTCGGGAGCACCAATTGGACTAATGCTCCAGGACTACAAGAGAGTGAGACATCACATTTCAATCCAAAACTTTAAGGTGTTAGGTAAATGAGTCCACTCTATTATAAATCCAACATTTCATTCATTCATAGACGATATAAAATTTTAATCAGTCACACTTACACCCAATAGATTCTACATACACTACTCTACCTATTAACACTGCCTACAAACCATTCTAACAATTTTACTTCAATTTCAATCAAATCAACTTAATCTAAAATCACTTTCACTACTAACCAATGAACTACACTTTAAAGTAATTTAGTATGAACATATTGCTATACATAAGCATAAGTATATGGTCAATTATATTCACAAATCTTTTTTAGACACAAAACCTTACATTAACTTCGTATAAATATACCGAATATCACCGTTAGCAACATTGTTTCGTTACATATTTAAAAGTGTCCGCATCCAAAAAAAAACTCGCATTAGTGTTTAAATAAATCCATTAAACTTTTTATATTATTTCACATTTTCAATTATTTAAACAATTTATATACATTTTATAAATATGTATACAAATTCATTCAAAAACTCTAAAGTGGAATCTATTAAACACTAGATTTATACTCGTAACTTAATTATTTGTATTTTTTTACTCAATTTGAATGAAAAGGTTGTTATTTAATATGAGAGCAATGGAAAGTTAATGAACATTCTAAAATGCTAAACATCCATTATGACTTCAGGGGTCAAATGATAATTTGTGACTCTAAAATCACTTTCACTATATATTTGTGACTCTTTTATTTATGATTTAGAGCTGAAATTAATCTTATAAATTTCCATTAATAAGATTTATAAAAAGAATGGAACTAATTGTGAGAGATTCTGACATGAGTTATAAAGAACATGAAAACCTTCACTAAATTTACATTACTTTGATCTATTGACAGAATAAAGAAGAAACAAAACTTGTAGAAAAAGACATAACAATCATAAAAGTTACAACTCAATAAATCACTTTAAAGTCAATAGCAAGAAAAATAACTATGATACTAATTTACACAAATGCTATATTAATTTCACACAAAAATCTTAACTAGACTAATATAGATTCAAATCCATGTTCATAGCTTGAGAGATAAATCAAGATGTTTCTGCTTCATTTCTTCTTGATTCATATGAGTCTTCAAATTTGTTCCACCACTCACAAAATATCCACTAGCTGCAGAGTTTTTCATAGTGTCCACCACTTCAAATCTACCAACACTTCCTCTTGATGCTGATAATGCTGATGATGATGTTGACCAACCATGATGATGATGATGATGATGTCCATAAGAGCTTCCAAATCCATTAGAAGGCTTTTGAATCATGGAGTGTGCTTGAATTCCAAGAGCACCATAAAGAGGCAAAGAAGCCATGTTTGAATAGGTTTGTTTATTATGCATAATTGGAAATCCAAAAGCAGAAGCTGAAGCTATAATCTGTGTTCCAAATCTTTGTCCTCTTTTTGCTATGGATCTCTCTCTTTTGTGAGCATTTTGGTGTCCACCTAATGCTTGTGAGCTATAGAATTTTCTATGACAATAGTTACAAGAAAAAACTCTTTGTTCCACCTCAACAAGGTTAGTGTTCTCTAATGATGAATCATTAGCAACATCTAAAGAAGTTATGAGATTGAGTTCTTGATTATTATTATTACAATCAAGAACAAAATCATCATTGGTAGATACATTTAAATCAAATAATGAAACATCTACCTTTGAGATTGTGACATCTTCTTCTTCTTCATGATCAATAGATTGTTGTTTCTTCTTTTCATGTTGATTTTGTAATGGTGTGCTTGGACTTTGAGGAAGCTCTTGACTAGAGAAGATGCATGGTTCCTTTCTTAGTCTTTCCATTGAAGATAATAATTCCTTAACCCTTTGTTGGTATGTTTAAGGAATTTTTGAGTTGTTGATTCTTTGACAAACACCTTAAATGGATAAAAAGTAGGAGTAGGTTTTTAGAGGCAGACAAAAGTTGTGTTCCAATTATGATTTTACACATGGATATGGAATAAGTAAGTGAACAAGTATTATAAGGTTGAAGTGTTTAAGTTGTCAAAATAGTAAAATATTGTTAATTTCCACTCATTGAAATATGCCTATGGCCTATAGGCTATAATATATTGTCATCATGATATTTTAATAAATTTACCTGTAAAATACTCGTCTATTGTACATGATAGATCATTATAAAAACAATTATTATAAAATATACTAGTATTTTTTGTCAAATATTTATTTGTTTTATTTGAGGAGTTCCGTCAAATATTGTCTTTCTTATTTATTGTCTGAATTCAGTTGAATTGAGTTTGATCTAATTCGTTATTTAATCCATTTAAAATTCATTAGATTATGTTGTTCACCCGTCATTAACAAAATTGAACTGAATATTTACGAATTAGATCAGGTTGAATTTACAAAAGGATTGTAGGTTGTATATAAAACAAAACAAAAAGTTTGTAATATTTTTTTAATTTTAAAAATTTTGTAGCACAAATGAATATAATTGCACACGTTTTTAACATGTAAATAGGATGAAACACATTGTAGAGTGTGAGATATTGGATCAAACTCTAGTATGAAGTTAAATATGAGGTCGAAGTCTGTTCGAATGCTGCTGTCAGAGTAATACGTGTTGTAGTCGAAGTTTGTTCTAACATGCATTAATCAATATTGCTAGGTTTGTTAGCATGTTGAATTGGGCCTTTCCTATAAGCCCAATTGTTTTAAGTTAGCTTGTAATGAGTAATTGTTAAAAAGTCCATTAGGTTAGTGTGCTATTTTTCTTATAAATAGCATGCTAGTCTCTCATCTTGTAAAAGGAAACATAGGAAGATAAAATCATAATTTAAGAGAGAGAAGTTATTTGTTATTCTTTTATACTTGTAATCTTGTTTGATAGAGAAAGAAAAAATAACAGTTTATAACCAATCCTTGTTATTTCTTCTTGTTCTTCTTCCTTGTTTTCTTTGTTAACCCTAACCCTTGTGTGTTTCTTAAATATAAAGAAATCGTTTATATTTTGTTTCAAGGAATTCTATTCACAACAAATTGGTGCGATGAGCGTGGAGAAGATACCTTTAACAAAGTATGAGATTGAAAAGTTACCGGAGTGAACGACTTAGGTCTGTGGCGCTTGAATATGAAAGCCCTACTGGTTCAACAGAGTTGTTTGGAAGCGTTGAAGGGAGAGACAGCCATGGACGTTGCGTTAACGACAAAAGAAAAAATGGCCATGATTGAGAAAATCCACAGTGCAATATTGTTGAGCCTTGGATATAAGGTTCTTCGACAGGTATCAAAGGAGACTACAACGTCGGGATTATGGGTGAAATTTGAAAGTTTGTACATGACCAAATCTCTGGTGAATCGACTCTACCTGAAGCAACCTTTTTATTCATTCAAGATAAGTAAAGACAAAGTGTTGGCTGAGCAGTTGGATATGTTCAACAACTGATTCTTGATCTTGAAAAATATTGATGTGGATCGATGATGAAGATCAAACATTGTTGTTGTTGTTGTTGTTGTTGTATGCTTTGCCCAGAACACATGCTCAATTCAAAGAAACTCTCTTGAATGGAAGGGAGTCCCTGAGCTTTGAAGAATTTCAGTTAGCCTTGTATTCTAAGAACTTAAACGAACGGAAAGAGCATAAACCTTCGACGGTGGGCGAAGGTTTGACCGTTGTGGGAAAATTCTTGCAAAATGATAGTAAGTTCGACAAGAAGGTAAAAGTCAGCAGAAGTCTTATAGTGGCGAAACATCTGGTATTCGATGTTATCACTGTAAGAAGGAGGGTCACATAAGAAAGGTGTACCCTGAACGCCTGAAAGATCATGGAGGTAAGGATAATGACAACACAACCATTGTTTAAGATGACTTCGACTCATTTGATGTTCTTATGGTTTCAAGTGGCAACTCAAGAAAAGAGTGAATTATGGATTCAGGTTGCACTTGGCACATAACTCCAAACAGAGAATTATTCGAGGAGCTATGTGATCAAGATGTTGGATCGGAGCTGCTGGGAAACAACAAATCTTGCAGAATTGCAGGTATTGGATATGTGAGATTCAAGCTCCATGGTGACTCAATAAGGTTATTGACTGAAGTCAGGTATGTACCTGATTTGAAGAGAAATTTAATTTCTCTTGGTGAATTCGACAGGAATGGATATGTTTCTCAAGGAGAGAAAAGTATCCTAAGAGTCATGAAGGGGTCGAAGGAAGTCTTGAGAGACGTGAAGAAATAAGGCTTGTATACCCTTGAGGCTAAGGTTGTAAGTGGTTCGACAAATGTTGCATCCACGAAACCTGTGTCGAAGATAGAATTATGACACATGAGGTTGGGCCATGTCAGCAAAAGAGGCTTGGTCGAATTGGTGAAGCAGAACTTGCTAGGAGGTGACAAAGTCGAAAAGTTGGAGTTTTGTGAATCTTGTGTATTTGGTAAATCCTGTAGGGCAAAGTTTAACAAAGGCAAACAAAGAACACATGGATCCCTAGATTACATCCATGCTGATCTTTAGGGGCCTGCAAGGAATCTTTCACACTCAGGTGGAAGGTATTTTCTATCCATCATTGATGACTATTCTAGAAAGCTATGGATATTCATTCAGAAGACGAAGGATGGAACTTTTGAGAATTTCAAAAGTTTGAAGGTTCTGGTCGAAACTCAAACTGGCAGAAAGGTTAAGAGGTTGAGAATTGACAATGGCCTTGAGTTCTGCAACAAAATAGCTTAGCTGTAACAGGGATTGCAAGAAATAAGATTGTAGCAGGCACTCCTCAACAAAATGGCTTAGCTATGAGATTCAATTGAACAATTCTTGAAAGGGTTAGATGCATGTTGGTTAGTGCTGTATTGAAGAACGTGTTTTGGGCGGAGGCTGTTTCGACATCAGATTATTTGATAAATAGATGCCCCTCGGATGCCTTGGGAATGAAGACACCTGAAGAAGTCTGGTCGGGACATCCACCTAGTCTCAATAGACTGAGAGTATTTGGCTGTGTGGCCTATGCTCATATTAGGCAAGACAAGGTCGAACCTAGAGCTTTAAAATGCATGTTCATGGGATACCTTGAAGAAGTCAAAACTTATAGACTATGGTGCCTAGAGCCATGTCACCGGAGGTGTATCACTAATCAAGATGTAGTTTTCAATGAAGCGGAGATGGCTTTCAAGAAAACTGATGATGCCGGCGAAGAGCTGGAACAAGGAAAGATTCCTGTTGAAGTGGAGCATGCTGATGCTGAATTGCGTATCCCAGATGAAATCGAAGAAGACGCAAAATAAGTTGTCGAAGATGAGGAGACTGATAATGACTACCTGCTAGCAAGAGACAGGTAGAGGAGAGTCATCAAACCACCTCAGAGACTTGGGTATGCAGATCTTATAGCTTATGCCTTAATATTTGTAAGTAAGGTTCTAAACGAAGAACCTAGAGACTATAAGGAAGTTATGAGGAGTCGAAAGAAGACTGAATGGCTGAAGACCATAAATGATGAGATGAAATCTCTTCATGATAACAACACTTGAGAACTGATCAAGAAACCTGCTGGAGCCAGGTTAGTCAGCTGTAAATGGATTTTCAAAGTTAAGGAAGGGATCGAAGGAGTCGCATCGAAGAGATACAAGGCAAGATTGGTCGCTAAATTCCAGATATTGGATCTGTGAGATTCAAGCTCCATGATGAGTCAATTAAGATATTAACTGAAGTTAGGTATGTACCTGATTTGAAGAGAATTTTGATTTCTCTTTGTGAATTCGACAAGAAGGGATATGTTTTTCAAGCAGAGAAAAGTATCTTAACTCATGAAGGGGTCGAAGGAAGTCTTGAGAGGCGTGAAGAAACAAGGCTTGTATACCCTTGAGGCTGAAGTTGTAAGTGGTTCGACAAATGTTGCATCCATAAAACCTTTATCGAAGATAGAAATTTGGCATATGAGATTGGGCAATGTCAGTGAAAGGGGTACTTGGTGGAGACAAAGTCGAAAAGCTGAAATTTTGTGAACCCTGTGTACTTAGAAAAACTTGCAGAGTGAAGTTCAACAAAGGCAAACAAAGAACTCATGGATCCCTTGATTACATCCATGCTGATCTTTGGGGACCTACAAGGTGTCCATCACATTTAGGAGCAAGGTATTTTCTATCCATAGTTAATGATTATTCCATAAAGTTATGGGTATTCATCCAGAAGACTAAGGATGAAACTTTTGAGAATTTCAAAGGTTAGAAGACTCTGGTCAAAAATTAAACTGGCATAAAGGTCAAGAGGTTGAGAATAAAAAATGGCCTTGAATTTTGCAATGAGGCGTTCGACAGGTTTTGTGCTGCCTCAGGTATTGCAAGGCACAAAACTAATGCAGGTACTCCACAATAAAATGGTTTGGCAGAAAGGTGTAATCAAACTATTTTGGAAAGAGTTAGATGCAGTTGACTAGTGCTGGATTAAAGAAGGTGTTTTGGGCTGAGGTTGTTTTGACAACAACATATTTGATAAATAGATGTCCTTCGACTGGTTAGATATGAAGACACCTGAAGAAGTTTGGTTGGGACATCCACCAGATCTCGACAAATTGAGAGTGTTTGGTTGTGTGGCATGTGCTCACATTAGGCAAGACAAGGTTGAACCTAGAGCTCTGAAATGCATGTTCATGGGATACCCTGAAGGAGTCAAAGCTTATAGGCTATGGCGCCTAGAGTCAGGTCACAGGAGGTGTATCACCAATCGAGATGTAGTTTTCAATGAAGCTGAGATGACTTTCAAGTAAACTGATAATGCTGACGAAGAGCTGGAACATGGAGAGATTCCTGTTGAGGTGGAGCATGTCGATGTTGAATTGCGTATCCCAGAT